TCAAGGGCATGGACCTCAAAAGAAATGTGTTGATAACAAGTGCATTGCCGTACGTTAATAACGTGCCTCATCTTGGAAATATCATCGGCTCAGTTCTGAGTGCAGATGTATATTCCCGATACTCTCGTTTGAGGGGATATAATGTGCTCTTTCTGTGCGGAACCGATGAATACGGAACCACCACTGAAATAAGGGCTTCACAGGAGAATCTCACTCCCAAGGAGATATGCGACAAATATCATGCACTTCATAAGAAAATATATGATTGATTTGATATCAGTTTTGACGAATTTGGGCGCACCTCTACAGATCAACACACCCAAATCTGCCACCATGTTTTCAATCAACTCTACGATAATCACTTCTTAACCGAGCAGACAATCGACCAGCTTTATTGTGGCAATTGTAGCAAGTTCTTGGCTGATAGCCTTGTTGAAGGCCAATGTCCTAATCCGCAATGCTCTCATCCTTGTAAAGGGGATCAGTGCGAAAAGTGTGGCACTTTTATTAAGGCCAGAGAACTTGTGAACCCTATCTGCAAGATTTGCCACAATCCAGGTCCATCCTTTCGAACCACCAATCATCTCTTTCTTCAGCTCCCTGCACTTAAAGAGGAGTTGTGTGCAGTTGTTCGTAGGTTTGTAATTTCAAGTCAAGAAGCTGTTGCTACGACTTGGAAACTGATTGATGGCGATGGTGCTGATAAACCTCTTGAGCCGAAGTGCATTACCCGAGATTTTAGTGACAAGGTATTGTATGTTTGGTTTGATGCCCCTCTTGGGTATGTGTCGATCACCAAGTGCCACACATCGGACTGGGAGTTCTGGTGGAAAAACCCAGACAAAGTTGAATTGCATCAATTTATGGGCAAAGATAATGTCCCATTCCACACTGTTCTTTTCCCATCAATGTTGATTGGCACTCGAGAAAATTGGACTCTTACTACCTCTATCCATGCGACACAGTTTTTACTGTATGGAACAGATAAATTCTCTAAGAGCAATGGTGTTGGTGTTTTTGGTGATGACGTCGAAGCTTCGGGTATTCCTGTAGAAGTGTGGAGATATTACTTGATAACATTCGACCCGAGGTATCTGACACCATGTTTTCCTGGGATGACTTGCAAGCGAAACTAAACCATGAGTTGGCAGATAATGTGGGCAATCTTATCAATCGTGTATTGACTTTTATTGCTAAACCACCTGGGAAGGGCTACGATTCTGTTATTCCTGATCTTCTGGAAGCTGAGATAGAGGAGGTAGATCTGAGTTTAAGTTCAAAGATTGATGTCTTCGTTCATGAGTATTTGGAGGCGATGGAAAAGGGTAAGCTGAAGAAGGGTCTAGAAGTTGCAATGAAGATTTCGCAGGCGGGAAACCAATACTTTCAGGGAAATAAAGTTTGGGAACTGTATAAAGAAAACAGTCTAAGATGTGGTGTTGTTGTCAAGACGTTAGCAGGAGTCGTTGGCATTCTTGCATACTTGCTTGAACCATTCATGCCATCATTCACTATAGAGGTGTTGAGACAGTTAGATTTACCAATGGCTGAAATTTCATCACTTTTGGATGAAAGAGGTGAGATTCAGATGCCCTGGAACGTCATACCTGTGGGGCATCAAATTGGAACCCCAAGGCCGCTTTTTAAGGAACTGAAAGATGAAGAGGTTGAAGCACTGAAAAAGAGATTTTCGGGAAATCAAGGCGATAGGGGTGCAAACACTGCTCCAGGTGCTACTGCTAGGAACATCACTAAGGCTGGGAAGAGCAAACTTGAGGTGGATCCTGTTGCATGCTAAGGAATGAAGGTATACTCCAGTTCATGTGTGATGTGTTATCTATTCGCTTTGCAATTATAATTTTGATGTTATATAATACATGGTAACAATCATAAGTTTGTCACACAAGGAGAAAGTTGTTAGTTTCATTACTAGAATCTTCATAAAAAGGCAATCATCCGGGTTTTATTCTCTTTAGTTGCTCATTTTGTCAATTATTCCTTGATTTTTGCTAGAATATGGTTAACTTGCTTGAATATTGTTAGTGTGATTATCGTTGCTATAACTTCATGTTTTGTATATACATGGCTTGTATGTAGCATTTTTTAATCATAAAATAAAATTTTGGAAATGAAGATTTGAGATGAAGAACAAACCCAACACGAAAATTTGTATGCCTGGGATTTGTGATGATACATATTGTTGATCCCAAAACTACTAATGCCCGCAAATCCTTGTTTGGAAGGATGATGATGGCGAAGCTTTTGATCTTTTATGAACAGAACATATTTGTTTTGGTTAGCAACAGCAGAGATGAAGTGTTGAATTTGCAGTTTGAGGTCATTGTTTCGAGTTCCGACTATGCTATTTCACACACTTAGCTTCTTTGATATTATAGATTTATGCAATGTGACTATTGTTGAAGCTCTACTTTCGCGCCCTCCCGAGACTCTATTCTTGTGGGATTCTAATGAGTTGTTTTTGTTGTGACTATTGTTGAAGGTATGGAGTATCAAAGCTGAAGACACGCGGGAGGCCAGACGAGTCCCATTGCTATGCATAAATGTCAGTATGGGCTTTAATGTTTTATTATTATTATTATAGAACAACAACACACTGCAGTAACACAATATTTGTTGCACAATAATAGTCTTAAGTTTTGCATGCCAAGTAATTAAACCATTTTTCCAGTTTATTAGTAGCCTAAAATCCACCATTGGTCCTTCAATATTGTTGTGAGCTGTGCGCGATTGGTCTTTAAGTTTCGACAATCTTTAAATAGTCCTTTAAGTATTCAACAACCTTGAAATGCAGTCCTTCAAGTTTTAACAGTCCATCAGTACTCCTTCAAGTATTTATCGACTGTCCAAATGTAGTCCCTTTTACGGTACACATTAAAAGCTAAATGGAGTACAAGCTCAATATATATAACTTCCGACTTGCAATGGGTGGCAGATGGAACTAGCTCCATATATATAACTTCCGCCTCGGTGCCAGATGCAACTTCCGACCTGCAATAGGTCCCCGCCGCACTGAGTCCGCACTTCCGACTTGCAATTGGGGATAATTTTACTTTCAAAGAGGTTCAATTTGTGTAGTAAAGAACACAAAAGTTTGATTGGAATTGTAGAAACTCGTTAATTCCATATACGTAAAAAAACAATCACTTACGTATAGGTACAAGTACTTCGTATTATATATACAAAGCTAGTAATCTGTTTATCTTTTAACGTGTATTGTGAAAAAATTATATTTGGAGGGTTGATGAATACTTGAAGGACTACTTATGGATTTCTAAAACTTGAAATCATACACCTCATAAAGTTGGATGATTAGTTGTGGATTTTAGCCGAATATAATAATATTATGCTAATTGGTGTTGACTATCGCCAGAGAGAACTAAAGCTCAAATTGGGAATGATTTTCTCATCACAAACTGTATGGTTTGTTACTACAAGGTTAAGTAGTGTTTTTAATGCCTATGAATAACGGGCTTCTAAATTCTGTATTTATTTAAACTGAAGAGCTTCTTGTTTTCTTTTAGGCTCCGTTTGGTATGCGGAATTCAAACTATGGAATTAAAATTGGAGATAATATTTCTATTTATTCTACTGTTTGGTAGCACAAAAATATGTAGATTTGGAAGTGGTATTGCCAAAAATGAATTGAAATTGGATAATTAATATGAAATTGGAATAAATTCATACATACCTAATTAATATTTTAAAATGTAACAACCATTTTATTTTTTTAAGAAAAATGCATTTAAATAAGGGAACATAAAAAATGAAGAATAAATAATTAAATTCAATAAATGATTATGAAACATAGTTCATAGTTCATAAATTAAAGAGAATGAATGATAACAAAATAAGATTCAAAACGCTTGTTAATATTCTTAAATCATCTACAAAAAAAACTTAAAACTCGAATAAAAATACAATGTACACGTAATAAAATTTGAACCAATTTTTTTTAAATAAAATTAGTATTTAATGAAGGAATATAAAATAATATTGCGGAGTATATTTATAATATATTAGTATGTATGTTCAGTTTAAAAATTTCGGTATGGGAAGTTACCTCATACCACTTCCAAATATCGAACCAACCATTCAGTTTGGTTTGGTTCGAGTTCTTTCGGTATTTTTTCCGCTTCGATATTTCTTGGTTTGATTTTCTTGGATTTTAATAGAAATTTCTCTAGATCAATTTAGTACATGCTCATCTCTAGGAGGAAGTATATCCACAAAATTGAAAATGAAATGACGTATATTCGTATGAAAATAAGTGGTGTATTTGTAAAAGAGGCTTTCTAAATGCACTCGTATTAGATTGTCTAAGAGTTAATCCCCGTCCCGTTTTAAATCGCCCGTTTTGACTTTTAGACATATTTAAGGAAAATTAAAAATAGAGTTAATTTTTTGAAATTGTCAATACTTTTTAGAAGGGATGATGATGAATGAGAATATAATATGAAAAAGATTGACTTATTTTAGAGGTAGTTTAGGTATTTTATTTTTAAAAGTTTACGAAAACAACTGACATGCAACTTATTTTGGGACGGAGAAAAAAGACAAACAGACAATTTAAAATGGGACGGAGGTAGTAATATCATAAAATAACATCTAAAATTTGATGCCACAAGTTCATCTTCCACAATTTTAAGCATTTCAACAAAAATATTACTCGAAGTTAAATTAGATCGAACTTTAATCATTAATTAGATCGGACAAGTTCATCTTCCACAAAGTAGTCATCTAGTTTGTTTTTTTAGTTAAATTAGATCAAACTTTAATCAATAATTAAACAAAAATTACAACAACAAAATTTCACAAAACTAAGGTTTGGGAAGCTTACATGTACGCATACTTTATCCTTATTCGAAAGTAGAAAATCAATTTCCAAAAGACCACGGCCCAAAAACATTCATATGCACTAACAAAATAAACTAACAAAGTAAACACAATACCACCAATTAAACAAAAACAAACTTGCATATTAACACAACGATAGTTTTTTCGAAAGTACGATGGAATTTACATTTACTTGATAATCAAAGTTATCTCACTTTGTCTCAAAAAGTAGACCCGACGAATACTCTGACACAAAGGTAATATTTGTAACTTCATACACTAGTTTTGGTTCCTCTGCAGTCTAGCAAAAAAAAATTATTCAAAATTTCCAAACATAATTTCATTTATTTGGTCAATGCTGATATCAGAGATCGGGTCAATGGGACGCTCATCGTCTCCATCATCGCCTGTAAAAGCACGGCTCAACAATGGTTCTCTGCTGAATTCATCTGCAACATAGGACCACATAACCTGTTTATGAAATCCACTATACCACAGTAGCCACACATACATACTAACAAGTAAAAGCATATAAAATCACAGACCTCCCTACAAATCCAAGGCAAGACTCAAACATTAACAAAACTCGTTTGGTATACGGAAATGAATAGATGATAAATTGAGTGGGAAGCAGGGATGAAAGGGTTTCATATTCCAAAGATTAGGTCTCGTTTGGTGGGCACAAGAGATATTTAAGTGTGTGTTTTGAAGTCTAAACAAGGTTCGGATTTGATATATCCTAATATCAGAACTCTTTTCGAATGTTTGGCGAAGTCTTAAACAGGGTAAGGATTTGATATCTTCTGATATCACAAACCCTCCCAAATGGGATCTTTTGATACCATAGGGTTTTGGGAGATATCAATCAGGTGTTCAGAAACAATCATTATTTTAGATTTTTGGAACTCATACCATTCCTTGTATCAACCCTACTTTGCTCACCAAATGAGCCCTTAGTTGATGGGAATGGAATCAATTGGAATTTAAAGAAAGTGATTGAAATACGTGTAGAAGAGAGAAACATTGTAAACAAACAAACCCAATAAGAGCCCAGGGAAAGTAGTGTCAAGGGCAGAGAGAAATATTATGAACTACATAATTATTCCTTAATGGAAAGGAAGTGTACCGTCAAAAATATATTGGGTAGAGGGCATTTGTTCCAAATCATTCTCCTGTCTCTTCCTACTTGGCATAGAAAAAAACCAATACCTTGGTGACAAGAGAAGAGTTGTTCCTCACTTTACAGAGCATAGTTATTTAAGGCGTGATGCGCACCGATGCACAAAGGGGCTCTAGTGCCTCGATGCGCGATGCGCTATTGATGCGCGCGCATCACGAACACAATGCGCACATTGAGGCATAAGTAGCATAGTATCTCTAAAAGAGTAATAGTACATATAAAATGTTGAAAAGCATACAAAAACTTTAGAAAGCAACTAAGAATCAAAGTATAGACTTCATGGATTTTATTACAAATTAGGCAAATGGTGTCATTGCTATTTGTTTTTGTGACCCTTGAAACATACTTTCATCCGGGATTAGACACCAGAATTTAGAGATTCTTACATTCTTGAAACTTGAAAGAGTGTACAAGATATAAATACAAAAAAAGGTAAAAAGGGTGGAAACCTCACAAAAAAGTGAAAAAATATTGTGAAAACAAATAATAAAAGGAGCGACTAACTTACTAACCTTATTCTCAAATATCAAATACTAGTATACTACATCAATTTTTATTCTCAAACCCGACAAATAAATAGTAAATTTAATTTCAAAGCAGAACTGCAAGATAAATAAAAAACTGAAATAAATACTCCGTAGTAAATTTAATTTCAGTTTTTTTAACAAGCGTCAAATGCATAAAAAAATCAAAAGCAATTGAAGTTAAAAATAAAAAATAATTAAATAAATAAATAAAGAGGGGCTTCGAATCTGGACTGTGACTTCAACGTAGTCCAAGTCGACAAGTGATGGAGTTCTAGGGGTTTTTAAAAATAAATGAAATCTGGGTCTTATCGGGTCAGCTCCTAAAAAAACATCGTCTACTTCGACCAGCGGTCGACTACTCTAGGCGACATCTTTCCGACAGCAACCAATTGTCACTAATAGATAAAAAATTAAAGAAAAAAATTAAAATTTAAAGAGGTGTACGTGATGCGCGCCTTGTGGCGCCTCAGATCGCACCGCATGATGCGATGATGCACAATTATCCGCGCGCCTCCTGTACGTCGCCCGCATCACAAAGCTTGATGCACAAACCCCCGCGCTTCGTGCGCATCGCACCTCAGTCGTGCTTTTCACAACTATGTTACAGAGAAAAAAGATTTCAAAGAAAAAAGTGAAGACCCTTACAAAACATGGGAGAAATTTGTCTTTGGGAAAAAGTGGACCTTTTGTACCAAACACGCCATTAAGGGGCAGTTTGGATTGAAACCCTTAGAGGGCTTAGTCTATACTGTATAAACACATATGATGTTACTCTTAAACTTTTGTAATAAACTCTCGAATACAGATCAAGATAGAGACTTTGCCATCCAACCCAGCAAAACTGTTTACAACAACCCAGTAAAATCCCACGAAAAGTAGGGTATGTGGAGGATGTGTGTAGAGTAGGTTGTTTCCATGAGAACCCGCCTCGAACACAAGAGTACGGAAAAAGGAAAATGCATTAGCACAAACAAAGCAAGAGCACAGACACAAGACACACACATACCGAAACTAGCAACAAGACCCAAAACACAGAAAGCACGCCATGCCCAAGCTATAGACTAAGGCAAAAAACACACCATCATAAAGTACAAACTAAGGCCCATAGGTCTACCAAGGTACTCTAATCCTACCAAGGTACAAACTAAGGCCCAAAGGTCTACCAAGGTCTACACACCTCTTTCTAACTCTTCCTGTGACTACCTCTACCCCTTCTCGTGCCCACTACCGCAAGCGTCTTGCTCTCTCCTAACTAAAATGTTTAAAGATAGAAATTTACCAAACATGGTGGTGAAAGAAGTTGGAGGAGGGGTGGCCATGAAGTTGAGACCAATGTAAAATGTAATGGCTAGAACTATGGTCATCATCACATAGGCTGGCACAGCCAATGCCCAGTACCTGCAAAGGATGAAGCATGAATGCTAATAAACACGCTTTTACAGACAATTAAAAGATATCACTCTTATTTCACAGTGGACAAATGCTTACTTTATTTTCTCTTTTAAGGAGTTAAGACAAATATTTCCATCCTCTACAAACATACATCCATGTTTCTAAACCCAATATTTTCCCTTTTAGACTATTTAGACATCTCGGGCTCAACAGCTCAACCAAATAGTCCTTACCACAGATTCTTAATGTTTGCAGGGTATTATTTACGCACTAAATGACACTTCAACACCATAATTTTTTGTCATTGACCCCAAAATAAATACGAATAAGGTGTTCTTTCAACAAAAAAAAAGGCAAATAGGTGATGATGAATTGATAATGATAATGATTGCCTTCCCTTAAATGCCAAGGTAATTAAGGTACACCTAGGCCTGAGACATTTCGCCAAACCTTTTGTTAACTGAAGTACGAAAATGCATGTTGTGCATAAATAGAGAGAATTGCTGACATCCTAAACATCATCAAGTTTCAATCATATTCACCTGCTTGGATAGTAAAAGATCCCTATTGAATCCAACCATTTCTCTGGCACATATGCCCACACAAAAAAGATAACTGTGCAAAGGAAAAAAATAAAGTAGATCAGATAACAAGCAAAAAATCAAATGAGTTTATCCAGAGAGGAATGCCATTATAATTGCCATTAAAGTTCCTGAATCTCATAATCACCATTGCCACATATGACAAATCTTGGAAATTGCCAAAGACAATATATAAAAATAACCACAAAGAAAAAAAGGAAAAATATATGTAAGGGTAAGAGGCTAAGAGTAAAACAATAAACATATACATAGATCACCCATCCAATGCCTCAAATAATCAAATTCCTTATTTGAATGATTTTCACACATTTTCAAGTGAATTAGGAGTATAGCAAATTACATGGTGGCCAGTCACAAGATTAAGTGTCTAATTGATAAATCAAATATTGATTCTCTTATAACACATCCACAATATTCCTAAAAACACACATTCCAAAACTCACCTTTGACCAGATGACAGTATGTTAATGAATGCACAGAGGAAGCAATATGTGCAGATCACAACCAAGGCACAAAAGGAAGAGGAACAGAAATGAACCTGTGGCGACGACGGTCGAAATAGACCCCACAAATCCATAAACTTCAGAAGGATTGGGTCCATGATCCCCAGGAATAGCAACTTCTGAAGCCTTTTCGTTTGAATCTGGGAAGACAACAGTTACCTTCCTATTTTTCGTAAAACTGAGGATCCTCCGAGGACTATCGACGGAATGAGGATCTTCCATTGTCACTGTATCTTCGAGCAATCCATGCCAAGGGAATAAACCTATACAATTGGACGAATCCAATGCGTCCCAAGGTTTAGTTGAGTTGAGTGAAAACAATTTTCCATTCTTCATTCTCTTCTCCCTACCGGCCTTCCACCTACCCGAATCACCCTTATCAGGGCTCAAAACACCACCCGACAGAAGAAATAAAAGAAAATACTCCACTTTTTTTAAGACCTCCACAACCCAGTCTTGATTAGATACATGAATCCAAAAATCCAGTGTCATACCCAATAGAATGCATAATTAATTAAGATACAGATCTCAAAATAAAAACCAATGGTTTTACTTAGGCTTCTCTTATCCACAACATTTGTGATTAGCTTAACCTTTTGAGGAGTAACAGTTCTCTTAAAGATGAAGATTAACTTTGGAACCACTAAAAGTTATCATTAGATAGAATTTTCAATTGCTGAAGCTAATGTGAAACGGAGCCTTCACAATGTAATGAATTTCAAGAATTTCTACTTCATTAAACAATTTACGGAGAAATAAATTTCAGAATATTAAACAAACAAAAAAAGGGGAATACCCTCCAAGAATTGTTTCCTGTGAATAGAAATAAATTTCTGAAAATTTCACAGCAAACTTGTAGGAATCGCTGAACCAATTCAGTTGTTCAAAAGAGATGAAAAAAAAATGGAAGAAATCCGACCTGGAGGCTGGAGAATCGATGAGAAACTTTTGGGGAATCCGGTGAAGTAATCGTCTTCTTCTCCACTCTCTTTCCTCAGTTTCGCGCCAGCGCAGAAGGCAAATTATATCCTACAACAGGCTGTACGGGAAAAACCGTACAGCCAAATTAGCACAGATGCTATCGGATTGGAAGCAGAGAACGAAATTCAGCTTCCCGTTCGCGACCGTCACTGTCCGGCGAGGGCTCTCCGTTCGCCGTCAGCCGTGCTCCGTTTGATTCCCTCGCTCAATCGAAGAACAGCATCGAAGAGGACGCCCCCCGTCTCGGTCTCTCAATTCAATTAAAACCACTTTTTCAAGCTTTGATATTCTTTATTTAGAAATCGCACTTACGAATAAAATATAGAGAGAAAAGTTGTATTTTGAAAACTCTCATTCATAGTATTAGAAAAAAATACATTATAAAAGTGATATTACAACTAAATAATACACTATTTAAAAAAATTTCTTCCCTTTTGTAAAGAAAGAAAATTTTATCACTCGTACTCCGTAATAAAAAGAAAGAAATATTACAACCAAATAAACTAAAATCCCAAAATGTTATTTGCACCCAAATAAAATAGGCTCAAGCACATCCCATTAGAAAGAGTTTTACACAATCAACCAAAATCTTTTATGAGATTGTTTTAACAATGAAGACCGTTTGTTTGTCAGTTACTTTTGTACACAGTTTCAAAAGTAAGATTATTTACAACCAACACATTTTACGTACATTATTATGATCAAGAAAATCATATACGACATCTAACAAAAGCAATAACTCTACACATACAACAAATCCAGTAAAATCCTACAAAACTAGGGTCTGGAAGCTAGGGTAGATGTAGGCACACCTTACCTCTATTATGAAATAAATGCCCCTATGATGAAGTATAGAGGCTGTTATAACTCTATACATATGATATACATAAATGCACTTGATCAATATGGGCGATTCATCGAGCCCACGATATAGATTCAACCTCATCCCTTGCTTTCTTGTACAGTTCGAGCCTCTTCGCACTTTGTTTTCTTCTCTCCATCAATGAGGGGTCTTCGTCTAGCATTTCTCCTAGTCTCTCACCCTGCCACGTTTTTTATGTTTCAATATGAAAAACGTATGCAAATCTAATAGACAAGAGCCAGTTTTGGAGGGTGTTTGGAACTGATTTTGAAAATGTAGAGTAATTCTCATCTTTTCCTTGGATTCAGTTAGGGCACCTATGAGATGCTTCTAAGTTCTATTGACAAAATAATCACTATTCATAAAAATAAAGCACACCCAAACGCCCTCTAAGTTTGGACTGAAATATGTTCGAATTCCGGTAAAGAAACTGACCAATCCATAAATGTCTACCAAACGGCACTGACTTGTTCAATCACGGATATCAATATTTGAATGCCAAATCATATAAAGAAATGGTATAGAGCAACTGACCTCTTTCTTCCCAATCTGTATGTAGAAGTGGTTTAGCAAAGACTGTTTGGCCTCTTTAACTTGGCAGCACACCACGGCTTTAGGAATAGTGTTCCTGAGTGTGTTAGATACCATGTTAACATAAGATGACACGTTTGACCCTATCCTCCGGAAATGTCCCTCGGAATACCGGTCTACTGCTGCTTCACTAGTAGTGGGGGACGGGTTTCCAGGTTTCTCCATTTCTTGTGGAAGCTTCCGGAAGAAATCCACTGTTAGGTATGAAGCTTCCATTTCCACTAGTCTAACAACTGTCTTCTTGCTTTCCTCTCTGAACTTTTCTAAAGCTTCATTTGAAGCTGCAACTATTGCTGATTGAAGACTGGGAAACCTCTTCAACTCCTATTTCATTAGAACCAGTTAATTAGGATTGTAAATAGACATCACGTAAAAGGAGCTGACTAGGAAAAAATGTCTTTCTTATCAACAAAATATTTACCTCACATTCTACCATTGACTTCCTTACGAGTTCCTTCAGGACCATGTGAACCTGATATTTAGAGCTCATGAATACATGGTACATGTATACGTTTTATACAAAAAAAAGGTACTCCCTGATAGGCAAGGCTAACACTCCCACCGTCCCAATTTGTTATGCCCACTTTGACTGGACATGAGCATTACTTAAGTGAAATTGTGATACTTTAATTAATGCCCTCTTTGACTAGGCACGAGCACAAACAAGAGATATTATGAACCAATTAGAGTGTGGACTGTGTGTAGTTTGTGGGCCACCCACCAATCAATGGTTACAGCAAGCCCCCATTTTTGCATTGGTTTCGGTCCACTTTTTCACTCACGTAATTGTCCAACCCATCTTTAGCTAATGGGTTGTAACGTAAACCATATAGTATATTTTTGGGTTGGTTTAGACTCATCTTTACACAATAAACTACAACTTGATACAGAGTACTTACTGCATCCACAGAAGCTTCAGCTGGTCCTGTGAAATAATTTAAAGCTCCCTCAATGAGACGTCTATAACCTTGCTCAGGGGCAATCAAATGTGGTTGGTAACCATCTGCCTCCGATACAACTTTCCTTACATTCTGTATAGATAGGTGGCGATCAAATGGAAGTTTTCTCAAAGCAGCAGGAAGTTGATGGTCAAATACCCTGTAGATTAAATCCCCACCTGGTCGGCTTGTGTAAACAACAAATTTTAAACATTAATCAATAATGGATTCAAATCATCTAGCAAGTCAAAGCATGGGTGAATAATGAATAGTGGTTTTGAAGCCTAGTTCATTGTGTGTGTGCAGTAAGGGGAGGGCTTTGAATTGCATACCCTCCATCAAGATGCTCCTTAAATATCTTGTCAAAAGCACGGCAAAGTTCCAAGATACTGTACAGTTGAGCCTGATTTTTTTTCATAAAAAAACCATTCATTCACAAGACAGCTAATGATACTCCACAATCCATATGTTCCAGAAAAGAGTTGAGTGATGCTTACGTGGTCCCAAGGTCCACATTTAAAATGTGCACCTTCTCACATTTTTCATGAGCTTACATAATTACATGTGGATATTTTTTGTTTTGCAAAAGGCCCACTTCTTTTATGCTACAAATGCACTAAGGTCCATAAAATGAGTATGGACCTTAGATCCACAAAGGAATTTGCCAAAAGAGTTACTCTGCATTATATATATATATATATATATATATATATATATATAATTACAATTAAATTTGGTAAAGTACTACTCCTTTAAGTCATCCATCATTCTTGGTATATTTTTTAACTTGTTAGTTAGTCAAACAAAAATTAGCATAACTAAATTATTTGGAACACTGCCTGTTTTTTTGGAAAGATTACATAAAACTTAATGAAAACTCACTAGTCACTTCTTTGATTGAAACCGGATTCGTTTTTTGGAGATAAAATTATTTTTGAAACATGACACTTTTTCAGGGACAATATATTATACTATTATAGTGTGTGACGATGGCAAAGGAGAGAAGAGAAACTCACCCCAGCATCAGCTGCAATAGGCCTTCCAAGGTGGTCCAACTCTGATTCAAGTTCCTCAATGCTTTTATTGATTAAAGAAGTGATACTTGGTATTCTTGCCCTTATTACAGACTCCAAGTGCTGAAATTAAGATATTATACTTCATTTATATAAGGTTATCCTATCCCTTCTACACTTTGTGCCATGTGTGGGAGTTTATAGAGATGGAAGAACATATACCCTTGAGAGAAGCTTTGCCAGATACTCTGAACCCATTTTACTGGCAAGGTGGCCATAGTCAGGGCTTGTGGCAAAATATTCACGCTCCCTTCTTCGTGCCGCAATCATGTCCAGGTTTTTGTTTATATCAGCTTGTGAACGGTTAACGATACCCACCCAAGGATGTTGCAACCGGTAAGATCTTCCTTCTAGAACCTTAGAAATGAGAAAAATACCGATGGAGTGAGGGTACCCACAGTGAGAGCAAACTAGGGAGGGTATTATACCTAATGAGTAATGACCCCAAAAATATGCACTTGGAAATGTAAGTGGGATATTGGGGATGGAAGTTGGAACTATGGAAGTAAAAGGAAGGTGATAACATTTATCATCATATCCACCTCTTATCCTCAACGTTTCAAGCCACAATATAAATATTGGAGGGAAAATTATTAACATTGGGGGATATTATCCCACCAGAAAGAGTGTTTAGATAGATATATGAATGGAGAAAAGATATAATAAGAATGGGACAATCGATGATAGAGAGAGAGAGCTTACATCCAATGCATTAGTTCCCTTGTCCATCAAGTCTAACTTTGTTAGGACGCCAAAGGTTCGCTCACCTGCAAGATTCATCAAATAAAGATTATGCAGAAACATGGACAAGGCTAGTGAAATATTAATTAGAAAAATCAAACCATAATTCAGAGAGGTACACTATTGTACAAAGTGTTGTATAAGATGTCTGGTGCCTTTCCAATGGTATGCCACTCTTAGACCTTATTTGGTTGGAGGGAAAGGGATCAATGTAGAGAAGTGTTGTGCTTGGTGGGGGAGTTTAGTAGGGAAGGAGAAGGAAGTAAAGGAACTACACACACACACACACTGACACGCTCCCCCAAACTCGTCATCTCCTCCATCCTCCCCCAAATTTGAGATATTAATAGGAGTTATGCTTTTTACTAACTTTTTGGCATTTTCTTCTTACTCATGCTTGTTCTAAATTTTTGCCACATATGTTGCTGCATTCTTTATTAGAACAAAGTTATATCAAATATGATATTGTGTTCGTATTGTGGAGGCATGCCATCCCAACTGCTAAGCCATAGATTATTTATCAAGAACATTTATAGAAAATATATACCTGAAGGGTCCACTTCTCTTGAAAGTTTAATTGCATCTGATGTGGCAATATCCTGATTAGCTGGAGATATAGCAAGTATGATGCTGTTGGGCTACAAACAAGGATTCGGAACATATAATGAGTCAAAACACCAGAAATGACACAAAGTTAAGTAACTTATATCCATGCAAGACTATACATTAATACAAATGAATCAATGATCAATGGAAAATGGAAACCATAAAAGTACAAAGAAAACACAGATTGTAGAACAATGGAGTAACTACTTTATAATTTAAAAGAATTTGAATTCAATGCCGGTAAAAAAAGAATGATCTGAGATGACCTTCCCCACATAGGACCGGACCATGTCTTCAATGTCTTGGACTACACTTTCAGGTTGCCCCTCTGCAATTGCACAGTTATGATTTATATTGGAAAAATTTGAAGTCAAATCATAAGATTCACAAGAGTTAAGCTGTTGTCAAGATTTAGAGCATACCGACAGCAACTTTTGTCAAACCAGGCAAATCAATTAGGGT